CACGATCTCAGGGTACGTTCCTGGTTTGCACTTCCATTGTAATCTGATTTTCGTTCTGTTAACACCTTTGAGTCTGGTACTCAGTCTGTCCTTTTCTCCCCAAGTTCACTATTGCCTGAGTTGGAAATTTTTTCTCCCTTTTTTTGGTTCCCCATACTCCCACATCCAGTTTTGAATCTCTGTCCACTAACCCAAGTCATACTGGATTCTCCACTTACAATAATAGTATTCCCTTAGGCTATAGGTTAATGTCCAGCATTTTGCATGACTTTTGATAGTGGTAAGCAATGATTCTCATGTCATGGTGCTCTGGTCTGGGCAGTTTTTAACTACTGCCTACAGCAATGAATTCTGGCTAATACTAAGAAATGGGTTTTCAAAAATCCTGTATAAAGGTGTCTGAACCCACCACAGCTGTCTGTCTCATGTTATGACAGCAAAATAGCCCCGAGGAGGGTAGTCAGAGAAGCTCTCAGCACCCATGGCCTTGCCAGAAACCATATTGATGATGGCAGCTTCACCAGATTTCAAAAACTTTGGGCCCTCTTCCAGCTTTTTTCCACAACGACGATCAATCTTCTTCAGCTCAGAAAATTTGCAAGCAATGTCAGCCGTGTGACAATCCAGCACAGGAGCCTATCCAGCACTGATTTGGCCTGGATGCTTCAGGATAATCACCGGAGCTGTGAAGCCAGCTGTTTCCATTGGTGCAAAGCAGTGGATAAGAAGGCAGCTGGAGCTGGCAGTCACCAAGTCTGCCCAGAAAGCTCAGAAGGCTATTTTCCCCAGTACCTGCCAGTCTTAATTGGTGGTAGACAAATGGTCTCAGAACTGTTCGTCCCAATTGGCCATTTAAGTTTAAAAGACTAGTTCATGATTACAGTGCATCATAAAAACTTCAGAAGGAAAGGAGAATGATTTTGTGGACCATTTGAGATTTGTGTGTGTGTGTGGCAGTTTTTAAGTTATTAGTTTTAAAAATCAGTACTTTTTAATGGAAACAACTGTACCAAAAATCTGCCACAATTTAATGAGAAGAAAGAAAGAAAAAAAAAAAAAAAGCATATGAGGAACTGTATCCCATCTAGCCAAAAGACTTCCATATGGTGCTGAACAACATGTCACAAGTTTAAGAGTAGAAGCTGCTCTTTTCCTATTCAGAGACAAAGATTTTTCTAGTGTGTCCCAAGAGGCAGAACTTTGTCAGACTTTTGCCCTTATAGTCCTTATAGTTGAACTAGAAGACCAGTGCATGAAATTCATGCATGAGAGGGGGTCCCCTCAGCCCAGCCTGCACCCTCTCCAATCCAGGATCCCAGGGATTGCGCCTAAACCTGCAGTCGGACATCTCTCTTACAATCTGGGACTGCTGGCTTCTAACTGCTCACCTGCCTGCCTGATCACCCCTAACTGCCCCCCATGCCAGCCTGATTATTTCTAACCACCTCTGCCTGCTGGCCTGATTGCCCCTAACTGCCCGCCCCCCCCTGCTGGGCTGGTCACCTCAACTTCCTTCCCTGCTGGCCTGGTCATCCCCAACTGCCCCCCTGGTCGCCCCATGCAGCCTGCTGTTTAGTGGTTTGGTCATCCCTCACTAACCCTCTGCCAGCCTGGTCACCCCACACAGCCTTCTGTTCAGTGGTTTAGTCATCCCTCACTAACCCCCCTGCTTGCCTGATCACCCCACACAGCCTGTTGTTTGGTCATTATAGTGATGGCATCTTGGGAAATTTGCATATTCCTTAGTTATTAGCATATTCCTTTGTTATTCTTCAAGAAGCAGTGAGTGGCCCTAGCTGGTTTGGCTTGGTGGAGAGAGCATGGCCTGTGGACTGAAGGGTCCCAGGTTGGATCCTGGTTAAGGGCACATACCTCAGTATAGGCTCCTCCCATCTGGACCCTGGTTGGTGCATGTGCAGGAGGCAACCAATTGATGTGTTTCTCCCACATTGATAATTCTCTCTATCTTTCCCTTTCTTTTTCACTGTCTCTGAAAAAAATACCAATGGAAAAATATCTTTGGGTGAGGATTAAAATAAATAAATAATAAAAATCCTAATCATATTTTTAAAAAAGAGGGAGGGAGTGCATTGTATCTACAAAGACCATGGTATGCACATCTGACAAGATGCTAATTTATCCTAATCCAACCTACCTATATGCCTGATTTTGCATTTTATTTGTTTCTCTACTAGTTTGGGAGACACTGTTTAAACTCATCCAAGTCCACATTTACCCATCTACTATCCACTTTCCACAGACTTTACCACACATTTGAAGAGCATTTACATTCCTTTACTTCTGTCTGATAATTCTACCTTTCCACCACAAAATTCACATACAATTCCATGTGTACTCTTATTTTATCAAAGCTATAGCTTCTCTTCTTGCCACCTTTCTACATTCTTAGCACTGAGCTCCTGCCTATAAACTAGCACAAGAAATTTGCTCCATTATTCTGTACACTGATGCTTATATTATCTGTCCTGTCTTCTGCTGAAGACCCTTTGCTCTGTGTCCAGTCATCTACCAATGCCTTGGAAATCTTTTTTAATCTTTTTTAAAAATATATTTTTATTGATTTCAGAGAGGAAAAGAGAGAGGGAGAGAAAGATAGAAACATCAATGGTGAAAGAGAATCATTGATTGGCTGCCTCCTGCTTGCTCCCTACTGGGGATCAAGCTGCAACCTGGGGATGTGCCCTTGACTAGAATTGAACCTGGGACCCTTCAATCCTCAGGCCGATACTCTATCCCCTGAGACAAACTAGCTAGGGCTCAATGCCTCAAAACCTGATAATCAAACTGCTTCCTACTTCTTGCATTTGATGTCACCCAGGACTGCATCCCATGGCTCCAAAGAAAAACCTATCTTGACACATTTTATACTCTAGTTCAACTGAACTGCTTATTCCCTTTGCATGTGCTATTTCCTTCCCTTAGAATACCCTTCCTTGTCATTGCTTTCCTGGAGAATATGAGCATAAGCAAAGTTTCCCTAATTATTTCCCTCTAAATTATAATAATCACTAGAGGACCGGTGCATGAAAATTCTTGCATTGGAAGGGAAGGTTCCTCATCCTGGCCTCCCCCCCTCACAGTCCGGGAGCCCTCAGGGGAAGGTGACCTATCACACCTCTGCTGCTGCCACTGCCGTCAGCGCAAGCCTCTGCTGGCCATGGGTGGCTGGGCAGCCACCATCCAAGGCTTGCCTGCACCTCAGGCCTGCCCTGGGCGGCTGCGGGGCTAAGAGGATTGTGCACTGCCATCTTGTGGCTGTGGGAGCTGACATCTTTGCGATGGCAAGAGGGTCAATTAGCATATAGCCTCTTTATTAGATAGGATTACCCACTCTGGGCTATTTCTATACTTTTTAATTATTTCTATTGATTATCATACTGTATAGAAAGTATTTATGCATGTGCTTCTCCATTATACTTGTATGTCTTGACATCAGGGCTTTTGTAATTTTTGATCCCCAATTTCTTACATAGTACTTAGAACATAATAAGCCCTTATTCGTTTTTTAGGCAAATATTAACTGAGGCCTATTGTGATTTTACTCTCATTGAGCATAGAGGAAAATGGAGGCAGCAAGGCTGGGTGTTTTAAAAATCAAATTGCATTGCAACTTGATTCAATTGCCTTTCTTTTCATTTTCTGATTCATTACTGCTCTTCAAAATAGCTTTGTTGGAGTCTTAACTTGAGTTCTGTGGTTCTTGATTCCTATGTTTGCTTTGACTCTTTAAAAAACAAACCACAAAATAAAAACCTTCTGATGGTCAATGACAGGCATGTCCCTGTGTATCTGAGGGACTAAGATAAGACTGTGATGTCTTATTTTATCTCAGTTGATCTTTTTCAGGTCAGAGTAATGCAGGATGTTTTTTGTTACTTTTAAAATTTAATTTAAAGAAAATTTAAGACAGTCATGTAGTCATTTTTTCTGCGATTTTTTTTCAAACTTTTTAAAAAGTTGTTCTTGGCAGAGGTGAGGTGTGGTTTGGGGGCAAAGGGGCTTCTGGGTTCAATGATGACAATATCCAAAATTACTTTATCATAGTTGCTAATCAGCAAGCAAACAAGGTTGGGCTGGGGAGACGTGGGGAAGGTTAATTGTATACGGACATAAGGGACCTTATTAGAGTGATGGAAACAATAATAAACTGACCTATGGTTATGGTTGCACAACTTGATAATTTACTAAAAAAAATTATTGAATTACATGATATGTAAAATGAACATCAATAAATATATAGTAAAGAGCAAGGTGTACAACAGAGTATTTAAATTGCTACCATTTACTTTTTTCTTCTTTTAAAAAAGAATATGTTTTATTGAATTTGAGAGAGAGAGAGAGAGAAAGAGAGAGAGAGAGAGAGAGAGAGAGAGAGAGAGAGAGAGAGAGAGAGAGGAACATCTATCAGTTGCTCCTACACGCATCCCAACTAGGGATTGAGCCCCCAAACTGGATGTGCCCTGACCCGGAATCAAACCAGTGACCCTTTGGTGCATGGGATGACTCAACCACACCAGCCAGGGAAATCTGCTACCACTAAAATTAAAAAGCAGGAAACCAAAAAGTAAGGCAAAAAAGGCTGACCCTTCATGAAAAAGTTAAATAAATAAAATTTTTAGTGAGAGTGGAGAGCTTTCTTTACATGTGGGCTTACTGTGTGCTTCAGCTCAGTGTTGAAATACCAAACATGTGGGCTTGGGGCGAGGGGTTGTCTATGGAGAGAAGAGGCAAAGGTGTCTGTACCCCTGGTCACCTGCAGGGCACCTAGAGGCTTTGGTGAGGTGACTCTCTCCCCACATGTCTTGAGTTGTGATAGAGCTGTGTTGCAGGCAATTTGATTTTTGTGTGATCCAGCTAAAGCTCAGTATGCCACATTGAATGGGAAGGAGGTGGGAATAAGGGTAGGTAGTGGGGGTTAACCTCAGTTCAGCAACCTCACTTCCTGAGTTCTGGCTAAGAGAAGAATGCAGAGCCACAACTCAAATGATAGGAAAGTTTATTTAGCAAGCCAGAGAGGTAGAAGCAGCGAGCCATAGAAGAAATGGGCTCAAAAAACAAGTTACAGCAAAAGAAGGGCTTTTGGAGCCTGGGGAAGGGCAGGAGACAGAGCTGCCCTGGGGAAAGGAAGGGTGGGGAAAGGCGAGGTGCACTCCATCCAAAGAGCTGCATTGGTTCCTCCATCCTGAGGCCTGTTATCTGAGGTCTCAGAGCAGCATCGCAAGAGAATATTTATCAGCTTCCCTGGTGTGTCTCCTCGGGTCTTAATCTCCACTCACTGGTCAGCGCCAGGGAGCGGGTAATTAGCCACTGCTGCTGGTCCTGATGTCACTGAAACACAGTGGAGGGCTACGTGTCATTTTCAGGGGTTAATGACCAAGGGGGTAGTTGTGTGAAGGCTAGTAGTTTTGCCCATTGCTGGGCACCTGCCCTGATGACCCTCTGCACCTGGCCTGCGGTTCCTGCTCTGCTCATGCCTGTCTAACTGCCTATCGCAGCAGCATGTGGATGCAAAGGCTGGAGGTGCAGGCCTAGGGTAAGGCCAGGTCCTGGGGCAGGCGGTGCCTGTGTGGGGAGAGGGGAACAGGAGACCAGAAGAGTAGGGAAGGTGCATTGAAAGGGCAACACACTAAACAGTGTGGGGTGTGAGAGTGTGTGTGTGTGTGTGTGTGTGTGAGAGAGAGAGAGAGAGAGAGAGAGAGAGAGAGAGAGAGATTTCCTGTGATCACATCTCGTGGTTACAAAGCAGCTTCATGTGCTCAGTATCGTCTCCAGCCATGTTCTGTGACTTTATCCTGGATTGGACACAGTCATGTAAAAACATGTTAAGACAATGCCACAGGAGCTTGGCTGGCGGCAGCAAACTGGGCAGGTAAAGGAGGCAGGGCACCGTGCTGTCCTTGCTGACCTTCTTTTCTGGGATTTATTCCTGAACTTCAGTCAAACAGGCACAGAAATCACCGTGGAGAGAAATGGGAAAGAGATGTGGTTTAAGAATATGTTTGATTTCTATTATTTTCAGGGGGTGAATTCATTCCACATTTTTTTTTTCGTGGAGCACAAACATGTCCTCTTTTAAGCAGTCACCAGGAAAGGATTGGCAGCCCAGCTTTATGTTGGAGACTCCCAGCGCAGACCCGCCGGACCGCCTGGCCAGGGACAGCCATTCGCCCCCAGAGCCAGGACCCAGACCACCGTTACTGAAAGGACTTGCGGAAAGTCTTTTTGTTTTCTTTTTATATGTGTGTTTTCTATAAGTTTCCTGTCACTTTGGGAAGAACAGATTAGTCCCTCAGCCTTGTACTTTGTTTGGCCTGGTTATGTACACTGTTTTTGGTTAACTCCTTCTTGCTGAGGGATCAACCCTCATTTCACATGGTGTTTTCTTTCCCATAAACTGCATCACCTGATTTTAGTATTTATTTTAAAAAACACAAACTAGTTTTTGGTGTGTGTGTGTGTGTGTGTGTGTGTGTGTGAGTGTGTTTCAGATTATACATCTAAATGCACCATTTTAACGACAGGTAAATGTGTCAATATAGCATCTCCCCCAAATTCATGTCCATCAGAGCCTGTCAATGTGACCTTATTTGGAAACAGGATCTCTGCAGATGTAATTAGTAAGATGAGGTCATGCAGGATTAGGGTGGGTCCTAAAAACAATGATTGGTGTCTTTATAAGAGAAAGCAGAGGGAGGTTCAGGGATAGAAACACCAAATCACAGCTGGGAAAGGGGCCATAAGAAGATGAGGCAGATCGGAGTGATGCAGCCATAGAGCAAGAATTGACGCAAGCAGCTGAAGTCGGGAGAGAGACCTGGCGCAGATTCTCCCTCAGGAGCTTAGAAGAAACTCGCTGCTGACACCTTCATTTCAGAGTTCTAGCCTCAGAAACAAGAGAGCGTAAATGTTTGCTGTTTTAAGCCACCAGTTTGTGGTCACTGGTTATGGAAGCCCTAGGAAACCAATGCAGCGTGTATTCCACAGTTTTTGCTCCACAGCAGCCTGAGAGATTTTATTGAAATGTAAAGCAGACTGTGCTGCTCTGCTCAATGGAATGGCCTGCAGGCTCCATGTGATCTGTACCAGCCCCTTCGCTCTCGCTCATTTCGTCTCTTCTTTGCCACACCACCCTTCTTGGTGCTTTCCTAACACACCTCAGGCCCTTTGCCTTTCTGTCATTCTGGAATGTTCTTTTGCTGACATACACACAGCTCCCTCCCCCACCTCTTTCACATCTTCACACCATCAGCACCTTCTTTGTGAGACTTCACCTGGCCTCTCAACTTAGAAAATCACCACCGATTCCCCAGCCCCCTTGCTGCTTTATTTTATATGTTCGTACTTATCACTGTCTAGTATATCATCTAGTTTACTTATTTCATTTGCCCTCTGTCTTCCCAAACAGAGGATTAGCTCTCAAAGGACAAGGAGTTTTGTCCATTCTGTTTTTCTTTTGTTTGTTAATCCTCACTCGAGGATATTTTTAGAGAGTGGAAGTGAAGGAAGGAGCGGGGAGAGAGAGACACACACATCAATGTGAGAGACACATCAATTGGTTGCCACATGTATATGCCTCGACCCAGGCTGGGGATTAGAACTGCCAGCCAGGACATGCCCTTGACTGGAGTCAAACCCGAGACTCTTTAGTCTGTGGGTCAACACTATTTGGCACCAGTCATGGCACCCATTCTGTTTTTTACTATGTCCCCAACACCCATGTGCCTGACACATAGCTGGCACTCAGTGAGTATCTGCTGGATGAGTGGGTGCATACACTGGTGTGCAGCTGTGCTGTCACATGCACATATGAAAGCACCGCATTACTGGCCGCCTTTGTATGTGAGTAGCTGCCTAAGCTGGCATCAGAACTTACGTTACTATTACCAATTCTGGGCCTACCCCCAAAACTGGCTATTCAGCAGCCAGAGCGGGGAGCACCTGGTGTCCCCGGGGCCCATGCTGTGAAGCTGAACGCCATGCCACAGAACCCATGTGGTTCTCAGAGGTCAGTGTCTGTGTCTGCTCCGGCTGACACAGCAAAATAAGATAGATTAGGTGGCATCGACAGCAAACATTTATTTTGTCACAGATCTAGAGACTGAAAAGTTCAAGAAGAGGCTGCCAGCACGGTCAGGGTCTGGTGAGGACCCTCCCTGGCTCTCAGATGGCTGCCTTCTCCCTGTGTCCTTCCAGGACAGGGAGAGAGCTCTGGTGTCTCCTCCTCTTCTTACCAGCCAGTTCTGAGATCAGGGCTCTGCCCTCAATACCTCGTTTGACCTTTGTCACTTCTTCAGAGCCTTACCTCCAATTCAGTCACATGGCTGTAAGGACTTCAACATCCGAAAGCTGGAGTGGGGAGCATAATTCAGTTCCTGGCATCAGTGCCACATCCGGCAATATGGGGCTAAGTAGACTTTTGTGCAGTAGCATTCTGTAATCTTTTCTCTGACAAAAATGGATACAGAATTCCAGATACTAAGTTCTTTCAATTAACATAGACTATATCTCATATATACTGCCTGAATATAGAAATGCAGCTGATTGGTAACACACAGACAGAGCCCTGCACCACTCTGAGTTATTTAACTCCCACTTGGCATTTTTGTTGAGTGGTTAGACATGCAACCTAGGGTAGGTTCAGGTTACAAATGAATCTTACTTTGTTTCTTTTCTAAGACCACCTGCTCTTAGGTGTGCTGTTAACAAAGCCAGAGTCAAAAGTTCTATCTCTCCTGAGATTCCCTCCCAGCATGACCCAGTCTGAATGCTTTAAATACACCACAGCAGAGTCTCAGATATGTGTTACCTGTGACTGGACAAGGACATGTATGAATCATTACAGTTCATCCACACTGTTAGAACTTAGAGCACATGCCCTACAGATTGTGATTTGATCATATGGAGAGTGAACTTTAAAGCAGGAAAGCAGCTTTAATTATGTGATTGTGAGCAAATCATTTATCCTCTTTGGCCTTAGTTTTTCAATTAAAAAATATAAGAATTGGGGTAAATTCCTTCTAACTTTAATATTCTGGGACAATGGCCCATTTACAAAACCTAACAATCAAAGAGAAAAGGGAAGGACCACTAGCCAACAAGAGAATGGATTATAAGGTGCTAATTTTGAAAAAAGAAGCAGATCGAGAGGCCTCACCCTCAGGTCAGTCCTGAGAGGACAATTTGTGGGCTCTCCCTCTTGCTGCATAGGTTCAGAGACTCCGAGATTTGGGCCTGAGCAACTGAAAAGACAAAAATGGATACAGAATTGAGATGATGACAGCCATGGAAGGAGTAGATTTAGAGGGGAAGATCAGGAATTTAGTTTTTGACATGTTGAGTTTGAGAAGCTAATTCACATTTAGAGGAGAGATGTCAGATTGTCAATTGGATATTTGTGTCTGGATTTTGGAAGAGACATCTGCTGGAGATAAAAATTTTGGAGTCGTCAACATGCAACTGATATTTAAAGCCGGACACTGAATGAGATCATGAAGGGAGTGGTTGTTCAAAGAAAATACAAGTGGGTCAAGCCTCAGCCCCAGAGTACTCCAAGATTAAGTGGTTAAGCATACTGGTCTGTTATAGCTTGATCAAATTTTATTGTCATTGCTATGCTTGTATTATATTATCCTTATACAGTATAACCTCGATATAATGAACTAATTTGGGCATGGGGGTGTCCATAAAACTGAAAATCCATTATATAATAAAGTAGATTTTCCAAATGTGTAGAAAAAATTGACAAATTAGTTCATTTACCTGATTCTACTTATGTAGCCATACTTGTGTAATTAAAATTAAGTATGTATGAAAACTTTAATTTCACAGAAAAATTTTCTATTGTATATATATTACTGTAATTTCAAATTTATACTGAGCCCAGCCTGTGTGGCTCAGTGATTGAGCATTGACTCATGAACCAAGGGGTCACAGTTTAATTTCTTGTCAAAGTACATGCCCAGGTTGCAGGCTCAACTCCCTGGTGTGCAGAAGGCAGCTGATCAATGATTCTCCGTTATCATTGACGCTTCTATCCCTTTCTCCTTCTCTCTTTCTCTCTCTGAAATCAATTTTAAAAAAGCATATTAAATTTATACTAAACAGGTCTAGTAAATGTGTTCACTCACCAATCACCGCAAGTAAACAAAGGCATACAGTGGGGGGGTTGGCTTTGTGCATGTCAGATGGTCTGCTGGCAGGAGTTAAAACTGCTGAAGAAAGTTAGGCCACCTGACAACAGAACCAATTACCACCAGAGATGTGGTGTGAACGTGTGAGAATCATTCCCCAAACATTGTTTATGAGCAGTGACTCTTGGATTTAAATATATAGACTCTACTTATATATATGTAATATTTATTTATATGTCGGTAAAATTACTATAGTGTTTTTTTCTAACATATGGCCTATTCACTAAAATTCGTTAAAAAAACACATGAATAAATAACAAAAAATAACCAAGTAAACAAATATTGGTTTAAAGCATTTTTAAATAACTAGCTGTTAATTTTCACATATGAGGTACAGACTGAAAATTTTGATCGTTAAATCTAAAGTGTGTTAAATTGAGGTCTGCAACATTGAGGGTTTACTATACTGTGATCTCCATGATGGAAAGGACTGGATCTCACTCATTTTTAATGGCTTTATCTGAGATGTAATTTACCTACTATAACACACATCTGTTTTAAATATACAATTCAATGATTTTTAGTTCTTACTCGTTTTGTATCTTCAGTGGCAAGTATATGGCAAGCAATACATGTTTTTAGAAAAAAAATTAAAATTTTAAGTGAATTAATAAGTGAATGAATGCCTGTGATCTTATTTTTATCTTTTTTTTTTTTTTTTAGAAACATCAATTTGTTGCACCATTTATCTCTGCATTCAAAGGTTGTTTCCTGTATGTATGTGCCCTAATGGGGAACAGAACCCACAGCTCTGCTGTATCAGGACACTGCTCTAACCAACTGAGTTACCAGGCCAAGGCCAGAATGCATGTGATTTTAGATCAGCCCTTTATGTGTCCAGATATCATTTCTTTTGTATAAAATGAGGGTCCTAACTAGAGGATTTTAAATTTTCTTTCAACTTTGGAATTTAAATTTAAATGTTCCAAATATTTGTTTAGAGGCAGGGAATAAACTTCAGTGAGCTACTTAAGTTTCACCATTACTTTTATAATGGCCTGATGCAGGGATCCGCGCACATTAAAGAGTAATTAATTAGGAGGTGGCCGGCAGGGCGGGACTGGGAGAAATGGGCTGGACATGCCCGGGAGCCAACCTCCCAAGGTCCCCTGCCAGTAGCACCTGGGGCGGCACCATGGTTCAAAGGGCATCTGAGAGTGAGCAGAGTCTCACTGGCAGGGAGGGGTCATTTGGCCTGGCTGGCAGGGATCCAGCTGAAATCAGCTCTCCGACATCCCCGGAAGGGT